CATCACTAATTCACTCTCTTTAGACAGTTATAATAAATAATAATAAAGGAACCCTGCGTGAATTTTTCATTAAACTGAAAACATGATCTGTATTTTTGAAGCAGCAGTTTATTTGCTAACTAATGTGTCATCTTTTCCTCATTCTGGTTTTTATTTTTTTCTCTATTCTCTGATCAGCCTACTGGATTAAATTAAAGGATTAATCTGATGAACCCTAATCTCTGCCTCTGGATTACATGCAGGATGTGAGTCCCTTACTGAGCTCTTTGCTGTCTTCCTTCTGCTCCTCTGATGAGCTGAGATGATCTGCAGGGATGTTGGACACTGAGCCTCCAGGATCACCTTCTTCAACCTTCATCATCTCGATCAGGATTTTCACAATCCTGGTGTGAAATGGTGCAAATAAAGGCCCAGCAGGGTTTGTTTTCACTAACTGGTCCCAGAATCTCGGTCTGCAGATAAATAAATAAACTTAAACACAGGCAGGTATTTATTTATTCCTGCCCCCCCAGCGGAGGAGCTGCGTTAGCTTCCCGGTAGCTAACGGTCCCTGCAGCTAATCATGAGGGAAACAATCACAGAGGAAAACATGTTAAAAAGATTTCATCAGGAAGATATTCCCACCAGAGAGAAATTAAATACAGATTAATTTGGGAAATAAATTAAGACGACTTTCTTTTAGCCAGTGAAGCTAACAACATTGCTATCCGGTAACTTCCTGATCGCTGACCAATCAGAGACAAGGAAAGCTCTGACTCTTCTTCTTTTGTTGGCGGATGGTAACCAACTGAAGGTACGTTTACCGCCACCTATCAGAATGGAGTGAGGTCATCAATGATGTCACACAAATCTGCATATTATCTATCAATTCAACAAACTCACTTATATATAATATATGAGCATATGCACATGCAAACACACGCTTATATTCTTACTTTAAATACAATTAAATAATCCAGTGTTTTTTAAAAAATCTAATTAACTGGTTTCTAGCTGAATTAATTTACTACTTAAAAGGTTTATATTGAAAATCCTATTTTCTCTCTATTGAGAATTGACTTTAAGTGCTGACTCTGACTCTGCTTCTTCTCATAGTGTTTTATGGCGGTTGGTAAACTAGTTAAAGTGCATCACTGCCACCAACTGATAAGGAGCCAAACAAGGAAACAAGATTCATCCTCCCAAAAATATAATAAATTATAACTTTCCAAACTATTCAATTTAACAAAACATAATCAATAACAAATACTTAATCAAATTAATCCTCATGATTCTAATTTATCTTTAAGTTATTGTCATTCTGTTAGTTTCTGATGGTCCTACTGGTTTCCCGTCATACTTTCAACCTTTTCCCACTTTAAATCTTTCACTGCAGCTTTCACTATTATTTAGATTTTTTCGGTTTTCCAAAACAAGAACATGAAAATCAATCCTCTGGACTTTCCAAGTTTGAAGACGTTTCTCTTCAATCCAGGAAGCTTTTTCAATTCTAAATGTCAGGAATAGCGTTTAGTTATGAGATCAGTATCTCATAATAAGGAGATATTATCTTGTAATTATCCTGATCGTAATATTATGAGATCTTATCTCCTAATTACAGTTTCATTGCTGAGCTATGCTTTTTGAAACGTTAACAATCATTGGGTTGTCGGATTTAATCGGCTTTTATTTCCTTTTATGTTTACGACACTGAGAAATCAATGTGGATGAAATTAGTTTGTCAGCGTAGCGCAGAAGGTCCTGTAATTGTTGAGGCGGAAAAGTCCACTCTACTGTGACTCGCTGGAAATCTCACTGGATGAGCACGAGATGCTTTATAGTTAAACATTCATGCATCATGCAGATGTTGACGGATTTTGAGGTATGGTCATCAGGCTGCATGTTAAGCAGTAATCCAGGGTTACAGCTGGGTACTTTATTGATGAAGTGAAAAACAGGAGCGGAGCTCCAACTTGTTGAAGTCAGACCCCTGAACAGTTCTCTGTACCCAAATATCACTGAAAACTATTTTATATAAGCATCATTTATAAATGGCAAAGAGACCGTTTATAAACGATAAACAGTTTACTATATTTTATAATCATTGATTAACTGCATCCACCCATCCCCCAGACTGTTTTCTCTCCTGCCCTCCGGCAGGCGTACCTCTGGACCAGAACCAGCAGACTAGAGAACAACTTTTTCCCACTTCTGTCCAAACTCTATTTATTGATTTTATAGTAAAACCCTTCTGTATATTATGCTATTGTACATAATTGTAAAAACCCTTTCTTTAATAGTAATATCCACCCGTATATTATATTCGGTACATATCCAGCTGTAAATTTAGTTCATAACACTAGTGATCTATATTTTATATTCATTATTTATAATAGTATTCATCTCTATTCTCATTCAGTAGAACCCATGTCCTGCACTGGAAAAAATTAAATCTGGATAAGTCGTTTTTTCTTAAAGCTACAGTGTGTAATAATGACAGGGATATACAGTCAGAAATGTAATATATTATACATAACTATGTTATTTATCATCTTCTACGAGCTCAGCCTCTTAACCTTAATATTTGCGTTGCCTTAGAATTCGTTATTTATAATTACATAGGAGCGGGTCTCGCAGCCATGGAGGCAGACATCTTTGCGCTACGGCAGCGCAGAGCCAACAAACTAGCGATTGCGAGATCGCCATAATGTCACAACGATGTAGAAAAAATAACGGGTATATTTATTATCTTAAGTCTACATGAAATCTATACCCTACACAGACTAATGAAATACTATCTGTAAAATTATCTATGTAAACAAACCTCATCACTTGAGAAGGTAGGTGATGCAGACGTCGTGGAAGACATTTTGTCCCGTAACGCTCGCTGTACTGTTGGGGGGGAGAAGCGGTGGGGGGGGAGATGTTCATGTTGCTGCAGTTTGCAGTCTGACCGCTAGATGTCGCTAAAAGTTACACACTGTAGCTTTAAAATAAGTGCTTTTGTTTTTGGATTAAGGACGTAAAAGAGACACTTTGCCAATGGAACAAGACAATTTAAAGTTAAAAAAAGAAAACTCAATTGAATTGTCTTATTTCAAGTGTATATGATCTAATTATCTTATTATAAGAGTAAAAATAATCATTCCAATGGCAAACTATCTCATTTACCCACTTAAACTAAGGGTAAATTCACTTCATTTAAGAAATGTTTACTTATTTCTAGATCTTTTTTCCAGTGTGTATTTATTGAACCATTGTACATCCTGCACTTGCTGCTATTGCACTTCTGGTTAGACCTACATGTAAACTGCATTTCGTTGCCTTGTACCTGTACCTGTGTAATGACAATAAAATTGAATCCAATCTAATCTAATCTAGGCCATTTATAAAAGGTAAACAGATCAAATTGCTATTTTAGTTTGATCCTAACACCACCATCAGAGGCCTTAATAAATTACCTATTTACCTTTTATAAATTATCAAACAAATAAAGCATCTGTTATTCATTAATAACTGCTTTCTTTACTATCTATAAATGAATGTTATTATAAAGTTTAACCAAATCACTTATCAGAGGAACAGTATGACAGGAAACTAAAGTGGTTTTAACTTTATCGTAGCAGGTTTTACCTGGAAACCAGTAACCAACCCATTTCTGATTAAAACTATTTCATCTTGTTTTCCTATTTGTTGGAATTTGATCATGTGAAAGATTTAAGAGATAAACATTAAACAAGTAATCCCAAAAAAAGGCAGAAACTTTTATTCACTGGCATTTATCCATCTCATTCATAAAATAAATTTCGCTTGAATCTTTTAATAGGTTGGAGATTGATGGGAAAATAATGCAGATCTTTTAGTTCCACAGGCTCCTGTCAACCCTGAGCATCTATATCCAGCGTCTGCCTGACGTCCCAGAAGCTCCTAAAATGCTGGAATACGCTGAACTTTCTATGGATTTTTTTCAATTTTGTGCGTATGCATAGAGTATTAATAATGAGTCCTGAACTTCTAACGACAGCGTAATGCCCGCGTAACGATGCACAATCATCATTTGTGACTGGTGACTGGTTTGATGTCACAAATGCATCCGATTTAATTGAGTATTAAATTCAGTTTCATCATACAATTATTTTTATGATTGCTAGAAATTTGGATTTTAACTTCTATGTACCTCTTTCTATGTCAGACCAGCACTTAATGTGGGAAGCAGAAGGGAACAATATAGAAAAGGTTCTAATTTAATGTTTTCCTTTATGGTTAAATTGGAGAAAGAAAAGCTCAAACCAACTTTTATGGTGTGATCCATCTTTATACGTCTACTCGAGATGAGACAAATTAAAGACAATAATAATAAGTCATTTTTTAAACTTTTATTGAGAAAATAAATAAACAAGGCTAGATCATCTGAAAACAGACACAGTTAATTTCCTATATAATCCATAGGAACCAGAAACATCTTTAGAATCAAAAATCATGTTTTCTGCTTCAGAAAGTTCTTTAAATCTGAAATGATTCCATCCTGTTCAATAAATGATCAGTGTTTTTAATTCAGAGTAATTTCCATGTGAATGTGCTTTACTGGAGGCATCCATGTTTGTCAAAGAACACTACTGCCACCTACTGGTTAGTGACATTGTCACGGTGCGGTATCGGCTGTTGATCAAGTCCCAGTGCTGTATCTGGTGTTTGTCACAACGCGCTATTATCCAAGTCATCTTGAAAACATTCTTCTTCCAAATGTTGGCTACATATTACGGGTTTTTTCTCTGGCCAGAAGTTCGATGGCAAATCCTCCCTCTTCAAGTTGGCGATCCAACGACCAACCCGTCCGTGGAGGATCAGGAATTAGAAAGGTGGAATAACTCTTTTTTTCCACTTTTACCCAATGTATTCCAGCATCCAGCTGCCATGCACGTGGGCATTGTCAGTTTCACTATAGCTCTGGTGAATTTCAATGGTGAAGTCCTCTGGAAATCTTCAATAATTGTTGTTGATTGCAGATGTGTCTAGTAGTTCCCATTGATTTAGCTTGGAAAGCGGGGAGAATGGCGCTAGGCTTACCGCACCGTGACGTCACTGCTGGAAGATGGCAGGAGGGAGGGGCTACTATATTTGGGCAGAAATGGCCGCTCCCAGACTCATAAATTAATACTTCTTTTACTGACTTACGCTAAATTCATGAAATCACTGCAAGCATATTAGTTTTAGTTATAAATAATGATCCATTGATTATTCTTGCTGAACGGACTCTTCCTTTAACACAAAGCTGAACTCATTCGGTCTTTGTTTCGATAATTCATAGTTAGCTGCTGATGTTTCATGTTAGCTCCAGTAAAGGAAAAATATGTGATAAAATATTCTTTTCTTTCAGAAAACCAGAGTTGGATTCTCTCTTAAAGGCCTTGGATCAGATCAGAGTTACAGAACAGGTTAGACGACAGACAGGAACCTGCTGCTGCCTCTAAATGTGTTCATATCACTGCAAAGATGGAAAAAAAAGGCTAAACAACAAATTTAATAAACAAATTAACTGCTTAAAGCATTGTCCAGTCTCATTTAACTAGCATTAGCTTAAAATTGATCATGCAAAACCCAGCTATCGCATAGAGTCAAACATAGAAACACTGATAACAAAGTATGGTGGGTAAGAAACATTTTTAACATCATAACGAGCCGCAGCTTTTGGATAAAAAGATTTACAGCAACCCACAGTAAGACTGTCTCCTCAAACCGTTAAAACACTTTTAATTATTGCTGTTTATTTGCTTTATATATATTTCCGTCTAAAAAAGTCAGCTATAATCACTAAAGTTTTTAAAAGCTAAAGTGTGAACATCCATGTGTTTTTTCAGATATGCTGGTCTTGAAAATCTTTGGCTGCAGACACTACAAACAAACGGTTTCTCCCCCGTGTGAACGCGCATGTGCCTTTTCAGATCGCCACGCAGAGAAAACGATTTACCGCAAACACGACAAGCAAAGAGTTTCTCTCCAGAATGGAACCTCATGTGATTTTCCAGATGATTCCTCTGGATAAATCTGCTCTTACAGACGTCACAACCTAACGGCCTCTCCTCCGTGTGCAGTCCCGCGTGCCGCTTTAACTGCGTTTCCGTCACAAAACGTTTACCACAGCTGCTACAGCCAAACTCTGCGTTGTGAATATCTACGTGTCTTCTCAGATATACTCGCTGAGAAAATCCTTTACTACAAACAGGACAAAGGAAAGGTTTCTCCCCGGTGTGAACACGCATGTGACTCTTCAGATCTCCTTGTCGCAAAAATCCTTTACTACAAACACTACAGATGTAGTGCTTGTCTCCTGTGTGAATGAGCATGTGTCTCTTTAGAAGATTTTGCTGGGAAAATCCTTTATTGCAAATGGTACAAAGAAAGGGCCTCTCTGCAGCGTGGATCCACATGTGCTTCTTAAGACTTTCCTTTACCTGAAATTTGGAACCACAAACATCACAAGAAAAGGCCTTTTCTCCTGCATGGCGCTTCATGTGGATGCTAAGATTCCTCTTGGCATGGAAGCTTCTCTCGCAGTGGCCATAGGAGAAGGGAGTCTCCCCGGTGTGGACTCTCATGTGGGTCTGAAGGGAGAGTTTTTCTTTAAATCCTTTCCCACAGAGATCACACCAGTGCTCCCTCCTTCCAGTGTGAATCATCGTGTGTAGTTTAACATTTGCCTTAAGTTTGAATCTTTTGCCACAGATATTACAGCCCAATGGTTTCTCCATAGCCGACAGGCTGCAAGACCGTTTACCTGCATTTCCTCTTTCTTTAGCCGCCATCTTACTTTGTAGAGAAGGACAGACTGGATCTGGGTTCTGGTCTGGTTCTAGGGGTCCAGGATCGTCTCCAGCAGGTTCTGTTTCCGTCTGATCAGCCGAGCTGCAGGCTGGAGTTTTAGTTTCTCTCTTTTCGTCACTTTTGATCTGATGAAGCTCCAACATCTGAGGTTTCTCTTCATCTTCAGTCTTCACAGTAAGCTGCTCTTCCTCCTCACCGATCCAGACTTCCTCGTCTTCCTCCTTGATGTGGGGGGGCTCTGGGTCCTGCTGGTCCAAACTGGGGCTCCAGTCATGGGGGACCACTTTAATCACCAGCATCTGATGGACTGCAGAGATTAAAACAAACGTGGAATCATTTACTTATCATGTCTTCACCTGTTTGGTTAATGAAGTGGTTTTAATTTGATTAAGCGATTGGATTCATTTAAAATAGTTCTAAGAAAACAAAGCAATAAGAAACTCTTAAAATAAATAACACTTTAAATATAGTAATTTAGAAGGCTCCTTAATTTTATAAAGCATTAAATCTGATGGTTTCTTTAAAGCAAGTCAAATTAATTTGTAAAGCACAATTCAGTACAAAGACAATGCAAAGTGCTTTACATGATTAAAATATATAAAGCAAAAAACAAAAAATGCAGAAAGAAAAAAGAACATTAAAAACATTTGGACTACAGAAAATAAAAAAAGTTGAACTAATGATTTAAGAAAATGTATCATTTTTAATCCGCTGTCATCAATCATGGGTTCAAATTCCATATTTTATTCTAACAATTAGATGTTTGTAAAATATATATATATTTAGATCAGAATATTTACACCTTATTGTATTGATGATGGTTTCAAAAGGCTAATGAAATGTATGATATCAGCAAATATTGGTTATTAACCATAACAGCAATATTAATATCAGATATCAGCTCAGATCTTTATATCGGTGCATCCATTATTTACCGCCTCTCATTTTTGACTTTCAGAAATAAATTTATTGTATCTGTGGCAGACTGGAGGAGAAAAATGCATCTCCCAGTCACTGCTGTTAAAATAATACTAGTAATAAATAAATATATATATCTCTATAGTAGCAGCTCCCCAGCACTTGAATTACTCAGTCAGTCTCGACGGGTGAATTTAGCGTTTATTTTATTTGACGAAGATCCTCATCAGTCACCAAAGTTACTTCAGTCACCGTGAAAACTAAAACATGAACAAATATTAGAATAAAAAAAAAAATGTCTTCAGAGCTAGAACTAGACATCTTCCAGGCATGTGAGGAAAACTAGCAGCAGTTCAGCGAACAGGAAGAATGAACGGTAGCCGGCGCGTTCGGATGATGTCATACACGCGCAGCTTTGTCTTTAAAATGTACAAATATAGAAGGATGTCTGGGGGACAGTGATTGGCCTCCATGTTCTGAATGCTGGCGTTCCATAAAGAATAAATGATGAACAGTTTAGTTTGTGCCTTCAAGTCGTTGCTCATAGGAAGCGTAACTGGATATAACCTAACGGAATATCTTCAGAACGGCTCCAGATGACACTAAACTCATATGGGAGAGTAGAACATGATGGAATAACGGAAAATCAAGGGACCAATGGAAAAAAAACAGCGTTCCCCTTTAACAGCAGATGGAAAGATGTGAAAACTAGTGATGGGTCCATCAACCCCGATGCAGGGAGCCCATAGAGCTAGACGCTGCATTGGTGAGCGTGTCATTTCCAGGAAGTCATGTGACCGATCCAGGAGCTGTCTCCAACTGACTGACTCATTAAACTGGGTTTTAAAATGTTTCTGTCACCATGATGCATCTGCTAAAAATAATGTCTGATCTTATGCGGTTTATCATTAATATAATCCAGAATTTTAGAGCCTAAAAGGAACAGGAACGTTTCAGCCGTTGAGTTTTTACTTTAATTTTCTGTGTCATCCTTTTTCTCTCAGTTATCACTCAACTTATCTGAATTAAAGTTAATTTTAAATTGACTCTTAGTTTATTTACTGTTTTTACTGCACTTAGTTTAAAAAATATGATTTAGAATCCTAGTTCACAAGCATCCTCATTCACTTTTCCCACTAAATTTTCACGTTATATGTTTACATTATTTATTTGACTGCATCTAAAACTATCAAAGATATTTTCAATTTAAATATAGATATGAAATAAAAAACTATAACCTACAATAATTTCAATGATATTCTTCTAGGTCATCAAATCAATTCAGTTCAGTCTGTCCAATCAGCTGCCTGCAGTGTCTTTAAATGTCCAGCAGGTGTCAGTATTCTGCCAGACAGCATCAACAGTTTGGCTTCATGGTGCCTCATTAATCATAACTAGTGAAAACTTAAACAGTGTATAAGTTGGACTTAATGTTTACTTTATTTGGGGATGAGTGAAACATGCACAACAAAATACTTTAATGTCGCTAATTATTCGTGTAAATCTATATTGATGTGGGATGGGGGCCCTGGGTTGGGGGTCCAGGGCTGGGGGCCCAGCTGCACACCTGTTGTACTAACAAACAAATGTCCACTTACTGAGCTCTCTGCCTCCTCCTGTCTCCTCCAGCTCTGATGTTGATGCTGCTGGTCCAGGAGGCTCCAATAGGGGCCCCCAGGGGTCCTCTGCCTCAAGCTTCATCATGTCTGACGTCATCATCATCATCGCCTTCCTTGCTTTTATCCTTTAAATCCTTGTTTGCGACCTTCCCATATCTCTATGTTCTAAAAGTCAAACCTTCCTCTGAAAATGAAAGTTTTTCAACCAAACAGACGCGATGCTGCAGAGTCTGATGCCTCCATCACCTCCTCCCTGTCCTCAGAGGGAGGAGGAGGTGTCCACAGATGATGCTCTTCCCCACGGGGTCCACTCACAGTGGACTCATCTTGCATCATTAAACATTATTTGAAAGCTTTCCTCTCTAAAGCTCCGAGCTTAGCTTCTTTAGCTAAACAGTAACGTTGCTGATTATATTCTGTAAATATGTCAGATATCATCCGCATACATGTTTAATGGCTGTTCCCTCTGGAGGGAGAAAAGCAGAGGAGTAAATTAAACTCGTTTCACACAAATTTATCAACATTTTGCTGTCGGAACTTAGCCTGTCAAGCTAACGTGGCTACTTCCGGTCACGTCCTCCTCATTGACCAATCAGTGACCATGTTGTTCTTCTTCTTGTGATCTTTTATGGCGGCTGGTAAACTTGTTCATTACCGCCACCAACTGATAAGGAGTTAAACAAGGAAACAGGAAACAATAATATATATATATATATATATATATATATATATATATATATATATATATATATATATATATATATATATATATATATATATATATATATATAATAAAATAAAATAAAAAATGTGATATATTTTTCCGAACTGCTAAACTTAGCCCAACATGATCAATTCTTAATCAAATTTTTCTTTAAGTTATCATTCTTGGTCTGTTGAAGGAAAGAGCAGACCTGCATTTAGCCTGATTACTAACACCTGGCTGGACGTAGCTGCACCTGTGGAGCCTGGCTTGAGTCATAAAGTCTAAAACCAGACCAACTAAACTAAAGCACATGATAAATCGACTCGTAATACATAATAAAAGTTTTAATAAATAAACATATTTCACTACAAGCAGTAAAAACAAAGTGAACTGGTGCTTCATTTAGATTTTTGTTTCAGGAGTTTCCTGGGAAGAAAAGCAGAGCTGATAAAGAAAGTTCAGTGATCATGATTGGTTGAAGTGATAATTTCATTGTCCGTCTGCCGCTTCCACCGGACACTAATCTGTGTAAAGACGTCTGCTGCAGCGAGGCTCCGTCCAACAGGCGGAGGAAATGTTGCTTCATCATGTGCAATACTTCAATAACTAATAACTGTGTTCTCAAAAAGTCAGCTGCAGATAAACATTAAACACTTATTAGCCATATGCAGTCCGCTTTTCATTAATATCTACAGTATTCAAATGTAAGCAGGAAAAAAATACATGCAGTTCATAAGGACCAGCTAATCTCAGATTATATAATCCCAGACTTTTAACACTCAGAACAGAAACGAAGGCTTGTTAATTTTTGAGCTCAGAATGACTATATCTAACAATCAGGAACATAAAAAATAATTGGTTTTATTTGGGGTTTTTTTTTTTTTAAGGCTGGAAGGTTAAACTCCAGGCATAAGAAAAAAGAATAAAAAATGCAGATCTTCATAAAGGCAGCCTTAAGGCGGACATACAGTGTATGAGTTTTTGCCCGTTTCGGGCCGATTCTTCAGTCATCTGAGAATTTTTTTGGGATCGTATACAGCATCGTATACAGCAGGTAACCAGGGGAGATCAGACTCTAACGACCACCTCCCCATCAGGAATCATAAGGTCGGGAGAAAATCAAACATGTTTAAAATCCAGTCGCTCCTGAGGTGTCGGTGAGTAAATCCTGCTGTTGAAGCAGAGCTATGAGCTGATTTAAAAGAACCTCAAGCACTGAACATGTGCAAACAAGGGAGTTCTTCTTCTTCTCCGAACTCCTTTCCTGTCCGGATCCTGGATTAGGGATGCACCATATTGGGATTTTGGCCGATATCCGATATGCCGATATTTTAAAACTCATGTAGCCGATAACCGATATCGATACCGATGTTAAAGCTGGACAAAAATAAGCAGTCATTGAAAATAGCAGTTTTGTTATCCATTTCTGACACTTTGAAAAATAATATACTCAAATATATTTTTATATGCTGATATCAAATAGATTTTTAAAAACGCGGTATCGATCTATTTTACTTTTAAAATCTTGTGAAATTTCATCGTTCTGTTACAAACTCTCGTGATATTTTGCAAATTCTTGTGAGATTTTGTTAGTAAAATAGATCGATACCGCGTCAATATATCAACATATAAAAATATGGCAACATTTGGTGAATTTTCGGGGGATTTCGTAGCATAACGATGACATATAGCAATATTTCATTAGTAAAAGAGATTGATATGGTGTTTTTAAATGGCAATATATCAGCATATGAAGATATTGGGATATTTTAATGTATCAATATTTTTTCCCTCGTCTTTAGAAGTTTTTAAGTCTGTAAAAAGAATTTTTTGAGGAAGAAGAAGAAGTAGTATTTATTTTTATTTATTTTTTAGACTTTAGAAACTCAGAAGCTGATCAAATATCGGGTTAAATATCGGTGGGGTGGCCGATGTCCGATATTCAGTTTTAAGGCCGATACGGATAGGGGGCCGATTATATCGTGCATCCCTATCCTGGATCCTTGTTTCCTGGAGCAAAGTAGTAACTCTGCTCTGGTTTTATCCAATATGGAGCAGAAAGATCTTTACCAACAGCTGCACTAAAGCAATAAACCAAAGACATCTTCAGAACCGGACGGTCTGCATCTGGACAGAGAAGCTTCAGGGGAAAGCTCCCAGTGGAGGACTTAATGGAGTGGTGATCTCCAGTGGAGGATTTCACAGGGCACCATCACCATGAACTTGTTTTTATCAGTTATTTATCAGGGTGTTTTAAACGAGTGTCCTTTCTACAGTCTGTCTGAAAATGTGTTCTATGTTTTTATGGAGTGAACAATACTTAAGACCATTTTTAGCCGCTTAATTTGTGCTATTAGTCTTTTTGGGACGGTGGCCCTGTGGAGGTTAAAGCCAGAATAAAGCTGGAGTTTTACTTCCACAGAGACACACAGAACATGGAGGATTTTATTCAGTTCTGTGGGGTTTTAACAATATTTTATGTTCTGTGTCAGATGAAGGAGAACTACAGTTTAACAAGCTCCTCATTTAATGATTTTAGCTAACACTTGTTTCACATCGTTTATAGGGTTTGAATTGTGTAAATAAAGTGTTTTTCTTGCAGATTGATGAGTCCGACCAGCGCCACCTCTCTGCACTGAGTCCGACGTGTGGTTTTTGGTCGTGCAGTGTGAGCAGGTAGGTCGCATCAGGCCGTACAGTAGAAAAACAAACATCATGAGCTGTGGACTTCTAAACCCCGCGGTTTGGTCGTACAGTTTGTGCTGTCGCTGCGTGCAACGATTGAAAATATCGCACAGTGTATGTCCGGCTTTAGCAGAAATATAGATGAAAATAATCAGGGCTGACTCCTCTCAGTTTTTGGGTTTAAGAATTGAGCAAATTAAAGTCAAAAACCAATCAGGTTTCAGGTTTTTGTGTTTCTTCTGTACTTTTAATTAAACCCGACAATATTTGTGATGAGAAGATCATGAAAGATTAACTGTTTAGTTACCGTCCCTGTGAATACCCATGTGTCTCTTCATATCTCCATGCTGTGAAAATCCTTTACCGCAGACGCTGCACACAAACGGTTTTTCCCCTGAATGGACCCTCGTGTGGTTTTCTAGTTGGCACTTTTGATAGAATCTGCTTTTACAGACGTCGCAGCCAAACGGCCTCTCCTCTGAGTGAACTCTCACGTGTCGCTCCAGCTGGATTTCCTTCCCGAAACGTTTACTGCAGTCGCTACAGCTAAAAGGTGCGGTGTGAACCTCCATGTGGCTTTTTAGATTATGTTTTAGTGAGAATCCTTTGTTGCAGACGGTGCAGGTGAACTGCTTCTCTCCTGTGTGAACATGCATGTGTCTCTTCAGCGTCTCCTGCAGTGAAAAGCCTTTACTGCAGACGGTACAAACAAACGGTTTCTCTGCCGTGTGGATCCTCATATGCTTTTTAATATTTTCCTTCCTTTTAAATCTTGTACCGCAAACATCACAGGAAAAAGGTTTTTCCACTGAATGGACCTTTAGGTGAGTTTTAAGGTTGGTCTTTGCATGAAACCTTTTACCACAGTCGTCGCAGGAAAACGGTCTCTCCCCAGTATGGAGTCTCATATGCGTCTGAACAGAACTCTTTTCTTTGAATCCTTTCCCGCAGACATCACAGCTGTGTTCTCTCTCTGCCGTGTGAGTCATCAGATGTAATCTGATGTGAGCGTTACGTTTGAAACTCTTGCCACAAACATGGCAGCAAAATGGCTTATCTTCCACAGTTCCAGCAGATTTAGATGTTTTAACTCTTTTGTTGGAAGTCTTCTCAGTTTGTAGAGAAGGAAAAACTGGATCTGGATTCTGGTCTGGTTCTAGGGGTCCGGGATGGTCTCCAGCAGGTTCTGTTTCCGTCTGATCAGCCGAGCTGCAGGCTGGAGTTTTAGTTTCTCTCTTTTCGTCACTTTTGATCTGATGAAGCTCCAACATCTGAGGTTTCTCTTCATCTTCAGTCTTCACAGTAAGCTGCTCTTCCTCCTGACCGATCCAGACTTCCTCGTCTTCCTCCTTGATGTGGGGGGGCTCTGGGTCCTGCTGGTCCAAACCGGGGCTCCAGTCATGGGGGACCACTTTAATCACCAGCATCTGATGGACTGCAGAGATTAAAACATGCAAACATGTTAATGATCGTTTCTAAACCGTTTTTTAATTATCAAATTATTTACATGTTTTAATTGACTTAACGTGGAAGAAACTAAAATAATTCAATACAAATAAAGGCAAATATATCTTTCTAATAAAAGAAAACAGATCGTTTCCCATCTTGAAAACAGCCTGGATCTTTTTTAAATGGAAAATTAAACTATTTGTGGCGCGGTCATTTAGGAACAACAATTAGAATCTGTTTGGAAACTTTGATGCCCACCATCAACTTTAAACTACATTTAAAGAACCCAAAATCACGGTTGCTCCGATCCGATACTAGTACTAGAAATCGGTACAACACCAACCAAAAAAACTGACTATGGTACTTTATCAGCACCCTGTCTACTTTTAAGGCTAGGCTTAAAACTTTCCTTTTTGATAAAGCTTCTAGTTAGAGTGGCTCAGGTTATCCTGATCTATCTCTATAGTTCTGCTGCTATAGGCTTGGACTGCTGGAGGACATAGGGACCCCTTTTTCATCATTCTGCTTCATTCTATCTCTATTCTCCCACTCTGCAGAATCTGTTAGTTCAATCTCTAACGTTCTGCTCTCTCTGCTTTTTCTCATAGCAGCTTCATCTGGTCTGTTCCTGTTTGGCTGTGACTCCATCCTGGAGAGAAATATCAGCTGTGCTGCTGCCATCAACACCTTTGTTTCTAGATGTTGGAGCTTGGCCTGTTTTCCAGTGTTTAGTCCTGTTCTCTCCTATAGCTGTGGGCTATAGGGCTATTCTACTGGGACTAACTAGATGTTCACTCTTTCATCCTTTGACTTGGAAGCAGTGTCAGAGCTCAGCTTATTAACCATTAGTTTCCCAGACAGAGCCATCTGTGGAGCTAGCTTACGTTAGCTTTTCTAACATAGAAAGTATGTATAGATCAGTGCTTTTTTGTTCTTTTTCTATCTCTGCTTCTGTCTCCTTGAACCCCAGTGGGCCTCAGCAGATGGCCGCTCACACTGAGCCTGGTTCTGCTGGAGGTTTCTTCCTGTTCAAAGGGAGTTTTTCCTCTCCACTGTCGCTACAAGCATGCTTAGTGTGAGGGATTGCTGAAGAGTCAATGAGTCGATGCAATCAGCTGGTTTTCCTTAGATAGAAAACTTTGAATCAATCTGACTGGATGATCTGGTGAACTGGAAAGTGACCTGAGATGACATGATGTGAATTGGAGCTATAGAAATAAACTGAATTAAAAACTGAACTGAAAAACTCCACCAAATCTTGTTGAGAGCTCTGAAGGAAGCTGAGGAATGGGGAAGCTGAACCAGAGTCAGAAGTTCTGAGGTTTGGGTTTGAGCCAGAGGTCTGGAAAGTGACCTGAGATGACATGATGTGAATTGGAGCTATATATAAGAATAAAACATTTGGTAAATAGACGGTAGAAATGATCATATTCACCAGATTTGATGAACTAGAACTAGATTACTCCCTCAGTGTCTGAGGAGTCATTTCCTCCTTATTGTTTTCTTTCAAAGATTATTACAGAGACTTTGCATTAAGATCAATATGTTCAACCTCTTGTTGTATTTAATTTTTTTGCCTAAATCCACTCTGTTGGAAAAGTGAGGCTCACTTACGGAGGTCTTGGCTGTCGTTTGTCTGCTCCTCCTCTAAGGAGGAGGCTGCTGGTAGGGATGGCTCCACATTGGGCCCTCCAGGGTCTTCCACTTCCAACTTCATCATCTTCACAACCATGAGCCGCTTTTTCCAAACCCTGGATAGCTCCTCTTGTTCTGGTCCGTCATGGCTTCAGCCACGAATCATCAACAAGGAGTCAGACTCATCAGCATCTGATGCAATGAAGAAGAAAATCCAGAGCAAAGCAGAGAGGAGAGTCTGATCACTGATCAGCTCTCTGCTCTTAGCTTTAGCAGGGCTAACTGCTAACAGATGCTAATTACTTTCTGTAAATGAAGCATAGAGTTAATTATAATCACAGTGGTTCTAAAACAACCAAAGACTCAAAGACTGTAGAGAATAGTAAAGGTTAATGAGGCATCATGAAGCCAAACTATTGATGCTGCCCTTATTCTGTCTCGCACAATACTGACACCTGCTGGACATTTAAAGACACTACAGGCAGCTGATTGGACAGAATAAACTGAATTGATCTGGTGACCTAGAAGAATGATATCATTTAAATTATTGTGGGTTATATTGTATTATTTTATATCTATGTTGAAATTGAAAATGTCTTTGATATTCTTAGATGCAGCCAATAAATAATGTAAACATTTATCATAAGGTGAAATTTAAGGGGAAAATGTGAATGAGGATGCTGCTGGACCAGGATTTTAAATCATATTTTTAAAACAATAAATATAGTAAAATGAGTAAATAAACTAATAATCAATTTGAGATGAACATTAATTCATATAAGTTGAACGATAACTGGGATACGGAAGAGGATTAGGGCCACTGAAAAAATTAAAAAAGTAAACGGATTTTTACATTTTGTTTCAGTATAATATGGGAGAAAAGTCAGAATTCAGATTTTTTCCCCCATATTGTATTAAAATAAAATCTAATCCTCTTTGGTACTGAGAGGAAAATGATGACTCAACGAGAAAATGAAAATAAAAAACTATTCCTTTTAAAGTGCTCCAGAATTCTTGATCATTTTATTGATAAACTGCTATTTATTTTTTTTTAGCATAAGCATGATGTTGACAGAATGTTTTTAAACACAGTTTAGCAGCTTTAGAACAAAAAAATTATTCTAGCCTGGCTCTAATGCTCCGTCTCAATTGTGTGTAAGAATATCTTTACTTATATATATATATATATATATATATATACAGGTGCTGGTCATAAAATTAGAATATCATGAAAAAGTTGATTGATTTCAGTAATTCCATTTAAAAAGTGAAACTTGTATATTATATTCATACATTACATACAAACTCATATATTTCAGATGTTTATTTTGTTTAATTTTGATGATTACAAATGACAACAAATGAAAATCTCAAATTCATCATATCAGAAAATTAGAATATTGTGAAAAGGTTCAAAATTGATGGCCCCTGGTGCCACACTCTAATCAGCTAATTAACTCAAACCACCTGCAAAAGCCTTTAAATGGTCTTTCAGTCTAGTTCTATAGGCTACACAATCATGGGGAAGACTGCTGACTTGACAGTTGTCCAAAAGACGACCATCGACACCTTGCACAAGGAGGGCAAGACACAAAAGGTCATCGCTAAAGAGGCTGGCTGTTCACAGAGCTCAGTGTCCAAGCACATTAATAGAGAGGCGAAGGGAAGGAAAAGATGTGGTCGAAAAAAGTGTACAAGCAAGAGAGATAACCGCACCCTGGAGAGGATTGTGAAACAAAACCCCTTCAAAAATGTGGGGGAGATTCACAAAGAGTGGACTGCAGCTGGAGTGAGTGCTTCAAGAACCACCACACACAGACGTATGAAAGACATGGGTTTCTGCTGTCGCATTCCTTGTGTCAAGCCACTCTTGAACCACAGACAGCGTCAGAAGCGTCTTGCCTGGGCTAAAGAGAAACAGGACTGGACTGCTGGTGAGTGGTCCAAAGTCATGTTCTCTGATGAAAGTAAATTTTGCATTTCCTTTGGAAATCAAGGTCCCAGAGTCTGGAGGAAAAGAAGAGAGGCACTTCATCCACGTTGCTTGAAGTCCAGTGTAAAGTTTCCACAGTCAGTGATGGTTTGGGGTGCCATGTCATCTGCTGGTGTTGGTCCATTGTGTTTTCTGAGGTCCAGGGTCAACGCAGCCACATACCAGGAAGTTTTAGAGCACTTCATGCTTCCTGCAGCTGACCAACTTTTTGGGGATGCAGATTTCATTTTCCAACAGGACTTGGCACCTGCACACAGTGCCAAAGCTACCAGTACCTGGTTGAAGGACCATGGTATCCCTGTTCTTAATTGGCCAGCAAACTCTCCTGACCTTAACCCCATAGAAAATCTATGGGGTATTGTGAAGAAGAAGATGCAATACACCAGACCCAACAATTCAGAAGAGCTAAAAGCCACTATTAGAGCAACCTGGGCTATCATAACACCTGAGCAGTGCCACAGACTGATCGACTCCATGCCACGCCGCATTGCTGCAGTAATACAGGCCAAAGGAGGCCCAACTAAATACTGAGTGCTGTACATGCTCATACTTTTCATGTTCATACTTTTCAGTTGGCCAACATTTCTATAAATCCTTTGTTTTTATTGGTCTTCAGTAATATTCTAATTTTCTGATATGATGAATTTGAGATTTTCATTTGTTGTCATTTGTAATCATCAAAATTAAACAAAATAAACATCTGAAATATATGAGTTTGTATGTAATGTATGAATATAATATACAAGTTTCACTTTTTAAATGGAATTACTGAAATCAATCTACTTTTTCATGATATTCTAATTTTATGACCAGCACCTGTATATATATATATATATATATATATATATATCTCCCTCTGGCCACTAGGGGGTGCTGCATCACTTCCCGCGGCCATTCAGTCAGTCAGTTAGAAACAGCTCCTCTCATGACTTTCTTGAAATTGAGCTCATAGAGCATGAGTAGAGAATATAGACTGATAGGATGAGATTATTATTATTTCTACCTGGTTTGAAGCTCGTGGAGCTCCCTGTAATCTGATGCAGAGCAAAGACCGCAGCAGCTGCAGGCTCCTCTGCTGGAAGTCAGTTTCCTTCTGACCTAAAATCCACATCGATCATTAGAGTCTGCTGCAGGTCACATGTTAGATAAAACACGCAGGTTTCGCTCAGTCTGGACGCCACAGTGACAGGATGCTAAGTTAGCAATAGCTGCTCACCGTCAGAGGAAGCTAGCAGCTGTTAGCTGCTAGCTTCGGTGCTAGCTGGTGCTAGCTCGGTCTGTGATCAAAGATCAATAATCTGAGAGGAGCAAAAAAAGGCTTTGATTCAATGGAAAGATTTGGCTGATGTGGAAATAAAATAATCCGGAGGTTCAAAAGCTTCTGCCTGCAGATCAAAACAACAACAACCTCCACCGGAAACACATGCGACCAACAGAGGCTGATTTTCAAAATAACAGCCTGGAAACTAGCGGACAGTGTTGCCAGATGAAGTGGAGGTTTTCCAGCCCAACATCTGTTAAAAAACGCCAAATCACACAACGAACCACCCAATTAATACATTATTATATTTACTGTGTGAACATGAACACACCTCAGTACAACTACATTCAACACTACATGTCAAAAAACGCTACAATCCAACAAAATCTGCCCAGAGCTGATCTCCATGAACCGCTCTGACCCACAGCCATGTCAGACCCACTGATCTCTATCTATTCCCTGATTGCTGATTGCCTGCTGGTAGAACAGGGTTGAAGTGTAGCCACCGGCCGCCATATTGGTACTCCCTAGTTAGACCGGTCACAATGTAAACAATCTGTGCGCTACAGCATCGAACAACAATGATGTTCTCATTTTCAGGGACTGAAGACTTTTGAAATAAAGATAAATTCATCACTTTGACACAGAATGGCTGTTTCATAGCTTAGAATTAAACTTAGAATTAAAAAAAAAAAAGCCCATCACATTGCAGAGTCATTATGAAGTCATTGAAGTCTATTTATCATGTAACATATTATACAAACCCATCACAATAAAATTAATGTGTTAATGGAGCAAAATAATAAAGATGAGCCAAAAGTGCTAAATTGATGATTTAAATGTGATATACATGGATGTATTACATTGTTATGGTAATTACATCTTACATGTCTGGTTATGAGTGTTATCTATATATCTATATCTATACCAGGTTATATGATGATACCAGGGTCTAAGAGGAGAGCTGAAGAAAACCTGGAAGGTCAAGGCATCAGATGCAGTTTACTTCATTCCAAGCAAGCTGCATCTCAGTTCCTTACATAATTTCAGTTTAGGCTGGTCTCAGAACTAAATATTTTCTAGTAAAGAAGGTTAAAGAGGTTTCCTTTAAGATTATTCACCGCTGTCACTCAGTCAATCATTTTTGATTTAATATAAAATAGACATTGATTCCACTGGCACTTTCTGCAACATTTACTCTGAGTCTGTCCCTCACCTGTTGGTCCTGTGAGAAGCTACAGCAGGCATCTATGGCAAGCTATTTGTCGCCTCATTCTGGACAATATTTATGACAAATTTGGACTTTATTATAAGGACGTTTATTTGGAATCACAAAATATAAAAAACAAATTTCTGACCATTTCTTCTCATGTAATGTTTCATTACTGTTAACCAAGATTTATATCCACAAACCTAAAATTATTATATGTAAACCGTTATGTATCTCTTTTTAAAGAAAGAAACAACTTATTTTTCTACCTTTTCCTCCTCCAATAACAAAAAGGCTGCTAAAGCTTTATCTTTAAGCTCTAAATGTTAAGTATTTATTTAATCCCTGTATATGCTTTTATGTGTACATCTACTTACTAACTGTTACTATGTTTACTTTTTTTCAGTTATTTTTTATTTATTATTATTATTATTGTTCAAAGTCCTGGTGATTCTTCATTGGAAATTGTAATTTATTTATCTTTTTAATTAACTTTATTTAAAGAAGAAAGTACAAACAGGTACGGCAATAACAACAGTACAAATCTGTGGAAGGTGTAGAGGGAGATTTCAGAATGGAAACAAAAGGCAAGATTGATAATGAAAAAAAAGAAAGAAGGAATTACTGATAATAATGAAATAATTATTACCATGGCAACAAGTTCGTGTTAAGATTGATGTACATTGGTGGGCATCCCATCAGTATTTCAGTCAGGTATTTGTATACATTTAAGAGATTTCAAATTTAACTTGAATTCAGATAAAAAAAAAAACGTTAAGATGATCTCAAGATTATTTGTTTATGAATAAAGAATTTTACTGTTTTGTTTTTCAATAATATTCCAAAAGTGACCGCTAGAGATAAGATTCAGGAAGTGCAATTTTTGATTTTATCCAATTTTCTAAGCAATTGTAGAAATTGTACTTATTTTTGTTTCATAAAGAATGTTCTAATAAAATTTATTTTTAAAAATCAACTTTAATCGTTGATAAACAATGCCTGCCATGTGACCTAGCCTTCCGATTGTCAGCCAATCAGCGGCCTTCCTGTCTGAGCTCCAGCCAATCAGCGGCCTTCCTGCCTGAGCTCCAGCCAATCAGCAGCCTTCCTGCCTGAGCTCCAGCCAATCAGATTGTCCGCAGCGCTATTTGAACGCTGCCAGCCTGTCGCTCCATGAACAGCCTCCTGCTGCAGCTAAAGTCGCTCTCTGCTTGTTTTTCTGGGTTTTTCCGCCTGATTTCTTCTCCTCATGGCCGCCATGGAGGTTCGAGCTGCGGTGAGTCTCCAGCCCGTCTGTCCCTGTCCTCGTCTCTCTGTGTCCACGTTGTCCAACGTGTCTCGGTGTGTTGCAGCCGCTGCAGGCCGCAGAGGAGCCTCTGAAGAAGGGGAAAAGCTCCGCATCGGCTCCCAGTAGAGCTGCCCTGGGAGAGATGACCAACCTCCCCGCAGCTGAGGCCAACATGAAGGTAACACCTGGAACACCTGGCTGGGTTCAAAGCACGCAGACTGAGCACTGGGTTCAAAGCACGCAGACTGAGCAGGGAAGGACGTTTCTATGGGGGCTTAAAGGGGACAAATGAAATATTTCTCAAACTATTCAATGCACATTAAACATTCCATTTATTTCAGTTTAAAAACAATTTATTGATTCCTAAGAGAAACTGAATTGATGCTGCTTTCCATAGCAGGAATCTCCTCTAGTTTGAATTTGATGTTAAATTATTTTTATTGAGATATTCCATAAGTTGCTTTTCTTTAAGTTGTAGGAAAATCATATTTAAAATCATTCTGGCTTAAACATGTATGTTTAAAAAAAAAATCCTGTTTTAAAATCTGTTTTTCCGTTATCTTCTGCAGGCCAGTTAGTTCTACGTCAGCCTGAACACCTAAATTCAGCCAATCATATATCAGCGGTCATCTGTCAATCGAATGTTTTCGGTCATAGCATCTTGATTCATATGTCGCAGCTAATATACGCAACGGTTGAAATCAGAATCCCTCCTTTCCCATTGAGTTGCGTCCCAGTGTTCACGGGGATGGACGTCTGTGTCTTCAGCAGGCGTAGAGCTAACAGAACTGGCAGCGTTGCGAGGCAAGGGCTCAAACATGTACGGCTGGAAGCCTTCTACACCAAACCAAGCTTCTGCCGCCCTGGCGTCCTCTTCCACAACATCTTCGTCCCCGCTTTCCTCCTCTAAATAAAAAATGGATGACGGAGGAGACTCATCCACGACCTCCGACACTAAACTCTCCTCCTCTTGCATGTTTCCGCTGTCCATAGCGTTCCTTGACAGCGTCGTTTCTAAGTCACCAATTTAGTGCTACTTGGTCCCAATGGAATTTCCCATTGGGAACCTACTAGCACTAAGTTGCTAACTGGTTAGCAAGATGCTTCCAACAAACCGGCTACAACTAAACTAGCTTGTGAACCTTCCGCCACAACAATCCCGCCCCCTTGATAATCGACCAGTCACACTTTATTCACTCGTCGGGCATCACTCAGGAGAATTCAGAAATGCAAAGGTTGGAACAGCCGCTTCCATCATTCATTGACCCCAAAGAGAAACTGATTTGATGCTGCTTGCCGTAGGACAAATCTCCTCTAGCTTTTTATACATGTTTGAATTTGATTCATTAAATTAGATTTATTAATGGTACTCCATAATTTTTTTTGTCATTTAAATATGCATGGATGATGGTTTGAATAAGTTCACAGTTACGATGCTGGATTGAGCCATGAAATAAATGGATGGTGAAATTATGTTTATTAAAGACATTAAATTAATGTAATCTAAAATGTATATTTATTCCACATTTAATTTATTGATACATTTATAAAAGGATTATTCAGAGTTGCATTGATTTTAATTTTGTCCCTTCTAACCCTCCATATCCTCCAGTTTTCATCTCCTCTCTAGGAGGCTTCTAGCAGAACATTTCCCCCTCATATTGACTGACAGGATGTGGGCGGGCCCCTGGTTTGCTTTTGGCTCCCACAGGATTTGGCAATGTTAAACCAGAGATGATCAAACGAAACTGCTGCTGAGTGAGATGTTTACTGATGATCTTCTCTGTAAGAACAGCAGAGGATCATGGGGGGGTGGGCTCCTCTTCCCTCCATTAAAGACATTTAAGATTTAGACTCTGCATCACAGTGACGTCAACCTAAAATACGGCATAATTGCACCATATGTGTTATTATTATTATTTTTTTTCTGCACCATGTTTTTTCTCCCACATTGTTTACATTTGATCATTGCTGCACTTTAAAAAATGGAAATATCATGAAAGCTGTACTAAACCATATGTTTTGTATAGTCTGAATTCAAAATGAAAAAAAGTTGTCTGTGTCTGACCCTCAGATTGAACTGAACTCTTTTCTTCAAACTTCTCTTCAGCTCAGAGGATGACTGAATATTTTATTGTGTTGCTCTGGATGAAGGAACTCTGATGAAAACGCTGCTGCTGGTTTGGGTTCTTCGAGTGAATCCGTCCAGCCTGGGATCCAGTTCCAGTCTAACGGCTCTGATGTTTCCACAGAGGAGGGCAGCATCTAAGAAGGCCTCCAGCTCCCAGAAACCTAAACCGGCCCAGGACCGTGGGGGTGTGGTCCAGGTTCCGGCCGCCGCCGCTCTGCTCCCCGCTCTTCCAGAGGAGTCGGCCGACGCGTCCATGAAGGAGGAGCAGGAGCTGTGCCTGGCGTTCTCTGGGACGCTGCTGGCGGTGC